TATATATATATATATTCACCTACTACCTAGCATATATGGGTACTAGCCTACCCTTTCGGTCTCTTTTAACCAGTAACTGCCTAGCATATCTAGGTGCTGGCCTACCCATTCGGTCTCTTTCCACCAGTATCTGGGGACTATCCTACCATCCTAGCACTATCACATAATATAATAGCTAACTAGCACATAAATCATAACAGTTAGTGGTATACTTGACAATTATCACAAAGACAATCATCTCAATTATAATCAACTACTAATAGGCCATCATTGGTTCCTTCGACCCACTTTTACTGGAAGGTAACTCATCTCAAAAAGCCGAATGCAGAATCTCATGGTAATAAATCTCTAGCGGTGACTCCGAAGACTCCCTGAGCTATCATTACCACAATAACACTTAATCATAACTAATAATCCTTGTTAGGGTAAAATGACCATTTGACCCCTGATCTAATTGGGACAAATCCTAAGGCCCAACACCATAACATGAAGGGGACCAAATCTAATAGCCTTCCCAGCCCACAAGTGGCCCAATTTTATGAATTGGGGCCAACTCCTCCAATGGCCTTATCGAAAGCCCAATAAATCCTTATCCCAAAATAAATAATTTCGAATAGCCCAATATGGCCCAAGTGGTCCAATACTTTTAATCTCAGTTCTAGGCCCAGAGGCTGTGCTCCATAGTGGTCCATGAGCCCAAACTTCTAAGGCCCTAAAACCCATGTTCATCACTCTTCATGTGTACGCGTGACATACCTGGCACATACGCCCAGCGTACGCTGACCTCGACCAAAATCAAAAAGATGCCCAGCACGCGCAGCATACCAGGGTAATGTCCATCGTACTGCTAGCTTCGTTGGGACTCATTTGTGTCTTAATACATTATGTCCTTAAGTTCAAAACATATATCCATGTCCTTTAAGACATCCTAATCCATAATGGTACAAACTTTATGGCTTTGCATGCATGGATGGGGGTCAAAACATGATTTAAGTCCTTAAACCAACTTTGTGACCAAAAAACACTTGCATGGTTGTGGCTTAACTATCAAGGTCCGATTTTTATGACTCTAAATGCTTCCAAGGGCTCAAAAGGACAGCGCTAATGGTCTGGAAATATGAAGACACAAGAAAACTCAACAATAGAATCAAAATAACGCATAAAACACCCTAATATTACAACTAAGCATGCAATGGTCAAGTTTGAAGCTTGATACCTCAAATGAGTTAGAAATGGTGCCAATCCACTGGATCTACAAGCCCTCTCCAACTTCTTGCTCCTTGTTCAAACTTCTTTCTTTCCAAAACTCCAAAACAACACAAAAATTCTCTCAAATGGCTACCAAATCACAAGAATACACAATTAGGGGTTAGGGATTTCGTGAGGGTTGTTTAGAGGTGAGAGGGAGGCTGGACCAAGGGTATAAGATCCTTTATATATGGATCAATCCTAAAATTTAGGGTTTTAGTAGTTGCATGCATACGGTGCGCGTACCATGTGGTACGTTGGGCGTACGTGCATGGCATCCACACATTCGTCTCATGAGTGCGCTAAGCATACATGGCCTGGTATGCTCCGTGTACAACATTTCCTTAGCCCAATCATAAGGGCCCAAAAGTTCCACGCCCAAACCATTTTAATTTATTAACCTTATACAAACATAAAAATACCTTATAAACCCCAGACATTAGAATATGTTTATCTAATGCTTATGTGGACATAGTATGGTTGGGTTGAGACTGTACTGCTTTATACAGGTAGGAAACAAACCAAGTGCCATCCAACCGGCAGGTTTTGAGACAGGGTAATCCAACCGGGAGGTTGTAGACCCAGTATATGATATATATGGAAATCCAACCAGGAGGTTGTGTGCCAGTGTAATCCCAACCGGTATGTTATGGGCTAGTGCAATCCAAACAGGAGGTTGTGCACCCAACTTGCATGATTTTATATGTAATCTATTTGTGTGATGGTACTTTTAGGGAGCTCACTAAGCTTCGTCCTTTCAGTTTTAGTTACATTTTCAGGTACGGTAAATGATCATGGCAAGACAAAGGCATGATCGTGTGCATCATTTGGATTTTATGTTATTGGATTCTGAGATACTCTGATTTACGAATTATACTATCGAAATAATGTTTTTGTAAACAATTATTGTCTTGGGGTTGTTTTGTAAAAATAAAAAATTTATTCTGAGTTTTGGTATGCACAAGACCTAGGATTTAGGCCATATCTTGGACAACTAACGTTTTTCTTGTAACATGTTAGGAAGGAACCATAAACTTGGCTAGAAAGGAAAAAACATAGTCAAAAACACGTGGTCAAACATGGATTAAGGAAGATCCCTAGAATCTTAAAATATTTATTATTATCATTATATATAAAATCTTAACTGATCATTATTCACACACACACACACACACATACACACTCAGAGATCTACTCTCATTCTCGTTATTTCGACACTTAAGCACTTTTACACTTATATCGAGATCAACTAGCACTTGTAATTTTATTTCGATTAAAATAAGTTCTAAGGTAGGTGATTTCATCGCTTCCTGAGGTTTCATTTTGAAGATGCAAAAAGATTAAGGGCTTTCCTTGTACATAATTGTGTTCTTGTATTTTCTTTTACTAATTTGTTATTGTTTGGTCCATTAGAATATTTTCTCTTATTTACTTGATTGTTAATCTGATTTCATTGTCAAAACTACTAAGATATTATGTGGTATTTTGGTAACCTTTTTAATTTCTGAAGATTTATCATACAAATTCATTTGGTACACAACTTTAAAAACATTGTCATCTTAAACACTTCAAATACACTTATTTACATCATGAAATAAAACACTTTGCTAATTTTTTTTTGAACATCTATATTTTCTTCCTAGGATTTTTGGCATGAATAAGATATTCGGAAATTTTCAAGATCTTAAGCACTTTGGTTTTAATACATTATATTAAACATTACACCATACTTACTAATTTTTTTAGTTTATCAATTTTTAACCAAAACAATTTGGTGCCATCTGTCAAATAAGTGGTGTTATTACATTTTTTTCCTTAAAGATATTAAATAAGCTTTTTCTCACATTTTAATTCGCTTACATGCTTTGCACTAAAAATGTCTTCTTTACCAAAACCCACTTTTAATGCTATTACATCCATATTCTCTGTTCAGAGCCTACCCCAACCTTCTGCTATCAACCCACAAATAAGGATTTTCCGAACATCTTCAATGGTCCAATATTTAGGAGGTGCATCCGAAGAAATACTAGTTATGGTCTTGAACAATGAGATCATATCCATGCTGACCATAATGGACGAGCATATCAATAAGAAAAGTGAAACCAATATGATGTTATTTGAAATAATGGAGAGGCTAAGTTCATAATCAAGAAGACCTATGGAAATTATACCAACTCCATATTCATTCTTGCAGCCCAGGATCCTGAACTTTGAAACTGGTGCATCTTCAGAATGCCCGGTGTAACGACTCAAATTCTCATCGATCATCAAGGTTAGCTTCCGTTACTCGAATACTTATTTTTGTTAAAGAGTTTGTTTCTCTTATTATCATAGATTCAATGAAGTAGAAAAAAATATATAACCAAATGTTATTTTATACCTAAGGGTTATGGTGGAGGGGTATAAAATTTTTCTAGTATTAAAAAAAGGCTTAATAGAAATTGAGGGACCAATATGTCTTTAAAAGAAATTTGTTTTGCCAAAAAATTATGGTTAGGTATGTTGGAAATCTTCTTACAGTTCTTGAGGGACTAATTTGGAAATATGATATAACACCTAAGGAGAAGGACTGTTCATTCTCCTTGTGTCAGTTCCATGTTGCGTTTGTATAAAAAAATTGATCGATGCTCTTCCCTTCCTTGTGTGCGTCGACTTGGAGGACAAGAGAGAATTGATTCTTTGTGCCACGCTCGATTATAGGCAACGAAAAAAAAAGATCGGCTTTGTGGGGTGTGGGGCTGCGATGAACCAAGAGGGAGGAAAGGAAATGGGGGCCTTTCCCTTGTCAATCCTAGAGGGTGTAGGAAGCTATGAAAATTGGATAAATTGTTGGTAAAATTCTCCACTTCTTCTTCTTGAGATGTTTATATCTCAATTGCTTGTCAATTGCATGAGTTTTGGCATTAAATTCATTCTTATTTGATGTTTTTCTTCTTATTCCTTGAAATTGTTCAATATTCCTATGAGTAATTCCATTTTTATTGGGTGTGTTTTGATGATTCATTATTTCCCAAATCATGTTATTAACACACTCAATAATGATTTTGATATGTCCTTGAATTACTCATTTGTTGATTGTCAAACACCTATGTCCTTGTTATCTTTTATTCAAGTGAGAGATTTTGGTGATTGACTATGTGTTGGACTCACCAAAAGTTCCAGTAAAATAGTTTTCAAATGTATTCAAATATGGTGAATTGGTAGGAGAAATTCAAACCCAAGTTGGTATTTCTCCTTTTAACAACGTATGTTGTCTTTCCTTTAAAGATAATGTACTTTAGACCATGGTTGGGGGATGAAAATATTTTTTTACTTCCATGATATATTGCTACTGATTAGACTTGTTTTTCAGTTATTTGGTCGATTTGGGTGATAAATTAATGGGTGAAGCGGTCAAAAGGTTTTTACAACCCAAAGTTGGAAATTGCAAGAAATCGACAAATCTGCCCCTGGATTGGAAAAATTATAGAAAAATACCAAGAGTTGAATTAATGACCCGTAAATTCTTAAAGTTTTCAATTTGAGTCTAACTTGTTCGTGATTTTTTCTAGGACCTGATGTTGCCTACAACTTAAGTGAAAATCGCCTTTTTCACCAACTAGTCAGAATATAGCTGCATTGATAGGCAGTTTTGTAAAAATCATAGAAAATTTTAGAAATATTGTTTGGGCCTTTAACAGTTCTTTCTACAATGCTATAATTCTGAAGTTCTGTAATATGAAATATATATTAAAATTTTACAGGTCCCAAGGGTAATAAACTAGCTCTAAACAGGTGATTGTTTTGGGTCCAAAATTGGGAACTTTATTTGATAATTAATTTATGTGTTTAGGTTATTTAATTATCATCTTTGGAATTATAGAGCTCCAATAACCTTTTATTTGTATTGTAATATGGGAAAGGGTGATACTTCAACTCTTACAAGACTTGAAGTGTGAGGAGGTCACATATTTGGAAAAGGCGAGTTAATCTCGTGGATTTATAAAGTACGTTGTTTGGAGTATCACGTATCTTAGATGGAATGGGATGAATCTATTAACCTTGGATGTATGTGCCCCTTTTGGTGTTGAGTAATGTTCCATGGATTTGGAAAGACTTTCTGTGTAACGGTATCTAGGATGTTGCATGCTATTTTCCTCTTTGTTTGATGTGAGATATGTGTTAAGATCATGCTAGATTGAGTGTTGTACATGAATATTATATGTTGTAAGCATGCCAAGACATGTTTGAAAGTATTTGTCTAAATTATTTAGGAAAAGCATGCGAGTGTTGTAAAACCATTATAGAAGTGTTGTGAATGAAAGAGGTGTGTGATGTAAAATGTAATAATTAAATAAAGTTACATATTTGCATGAAAATGAACCCTTAAAGAGGTAATATGTTTACAATAGAAATTCATAATTCTTACATGATTACTTGAAGAGGATAAAAGTGTAACTCCTTAATTTATTAATTAATATTAGTTGAAAAAGGGGAATACAATAGCGGGGCAAAGGGTAATAACCTAGTCATAGCAGTATACCATATCCAGATTATTTTGGGGACCCGATGGTTGACGAAACCTACGAGGGAAGAGCTTGAGCCAAAGCAGAATTGGATGATTTTTCTAAGATATCATTCGAGACATTTTCCGAATGGTGGGTGGACTAGAGTGATGTTGGTCTAGCGGTGGGACCTATGCAAACATCACATGGGATTTGGAGGTGTAACCCTGTGGATTTTGCACCGTTTGTACCGATCCTTAATAACAACACATGTATACGTATGTGCAAAGTCAGAGTATCGAATACAACACATTGGGAGTAATGATTACGAGTAAGATTCATGCATCACCTAGTGCATTGGGTTGTGCTAGTCATGTTAGTAGCGATTGGGGTACTTCCCTTGGGGGTTTACGGTAAGTAAATAGACTCTAACTACGAAGTATTACTTTGATAATTATGATGATGGTGAGTGATGAGTAATTATTAAAATAAAGCAGTGAAATAAAATATTATATAATAATATTATAGCGGTGATGAGTTGTTTTACGAGCGGTACGCCGCTGTGGCTGAGGTGGTTGCTGCTGTAACTACCATAGATGTTGTTCCTATAGGGATTCTGGGGGAAAATCGTCCTAGTATCGTGATTTGAGTAAGATGAAGACCCCGTAGTTTGATGGGTTCATGGACTCGATTATGGAAATGAGGTGGTTGTCTGATCTAGAGGGCTGCTTCTTCACTTGTTCGTGGCCGGATGACCTGAAGGTCAAGTGCGCCCTGAACCTTTTTTGGTTAGGGGCGCAAGATTAGTGGAGGCTAGCGACTGGTACTTATTCTCATGTGGAGAGGAATGCAGTTACTTGGGTGTAGTTCTTTGAGATGTTATGCGCTATGTATGTACCCTTGGTGGAGAGAGAGAGAGAGAGAGAGAGAGAGAGGTTGGATTAGGAGTATATCTTCTTAATACAGACAATAGAGATGGTTACAAAGATCACCAAGATGTTAACTGAGAGGGCTCTCTTTTGTCCTGAGTATGATTCATCAGAGAAGGCTCTGATGTCATGATACTTGAGCATGCTCAAGACCTAGATCAGGAGTTTGTATTTACCCGACGATAGATTATCCTCTCCAAGCTTCAAGATGTCATGAGGAGGTGAGAGATTATGATAGAGACCAAGAATAGGGAGCAGCGACAGACTCTAGTTCAGTCCTAGCCTACAACAAAGCGGTTCAAGCCCTCGAAGTTTGACGAGGTAAACGACCCGATTGTAGCGATGAGGTGGTTGTCTGATCTAGAGGGTTGCTTCTTTACATGTTCATGCCCAGATAACCAAAAGGTCATGTGTGCAGTGAACCTTCTTCGGTTAAGGACGCATGATTGGTGGAGGCTAGAGACTCATACTTTTTCTCCTGTGTAGAGGACTGCAGTGACTTGGGAGCAGTTCTCAAAGATGTTCTACCTTATGTATGTTTCCTTATTATAAAGAGAGAGAAGAGAAATAGAGAGAGATATATATATAGAGAGAGAGATTGGCTCAGGAGTATCTCTTCTTGAGATAGACAACAAAGACAGTGACAGAGATCACCAAGATGCTTACTAAGAGGGCTCTCTTCTGTCGTGAGTATGATTCATCATAGTGTAACAGCCTAGTTTTACAAAGAAAATTTTCATTTTTCAATAATAGAATCATTTGCATAAACCATAAATTCACAAAACATCTGTTTTCAAATTCACGTTTAATACATCATTATTTCCTTTTTAAAACATTAGAGTGTCCCGAAACATAGTAGTAAAGGAGATATAGAGTGCACACCGTGTCATCACGCCTTGCCCTTGCCCTTGGGCTCAAATGTACCTGCATCAAATCCACAAATGGTAAGCTTGAAAGCTTAGTAATTTCCATAGAGCATACCCACACACAACCACATATAGCATATCATACCAACTAGTCAGCTATCCAAAATACATAAATCATGCATGCAATTCACATAATGAAGCCCTTGAAAACCTCCAGGGTCTTACTCCGAGTGTCATGGGAACCCCCACATGGTCTTAGTCCGGTGCCTACGAAACCCCCTCGAGGTCTTTGACCTAGGATGCCAAGGAAACCCTCCAAGGTCTTACAACTAAGCGCCTCGGGAACCCCCGGAGGTCTTACACATAATATAATCACATAACATATCAAATCACCTAATGTATGACATATGTATCATAATCACAAAATGGGTTGGCCTTGATGCCGTAGACCCATGGGTACGGTGAGGAGACTCACCTCCAACTACTGAACACAATAGCTGCTATCTTAACAGTCCGAAACCACTAGTGCTGAATAATAACAATATCAAACCAAGATTAGAGTTTGATGATGGACAAACTAAAAACTAAACCCCAAATTTCTTTCCTAATGGCGCAAGTGTCTTCCTTGGCTAATGGGCCCTAAGGTGCATGTTCAAAATTTATTAATGGGCCACATGGCTCATCAAGGCCCAACTATAATACTCCCGGCCTAAGTGTAATCACTTGGCCCATTAACTCGAATTATGGCCAAGCCCACAGATAGATTAAGGCACAAAAGGCTTATGGACCCAAAACAAGTCCAAGTCCTTCAAGGGTGTGTATGCCATGCCTACCACCATGGTACGCGTAAAGTACCAGGCTTTTGCACATTATTCGTGACGTTCTCTATGCTATGCCCAACATAGGAACAAATTAAGCACTCTTTCGATTAAGTGCTTATTACTCGATGGTTCAATGTCCCCAAATCAGATCTGAGCACATCTTAACGA